CCGTAATCAATTGCCTTTTTGGATCGAATGCAGTTTTAATCGTGGCTATTCGAATCGTTTGAATAATATAAAGGGGTGTACTGTAAGCAGTTCATGGGAACATCTGTACGCGATGTACTACTTCGTGTACTTTATCGATCATTTACGAACGCTACGGAAGAGGAGGGTCGTTGTCGGATACGATGAAATTCACCGGAAGCAATAGCAACCCCGAAACAGTCTGAATTAACTATAAAGTTCTTAATGTAGCCATTTAACGTGCTAATGCGGTCCGCTCGGGTTTCGTCTCTGTTACTTACTCGAAGTAATAGTTTCCAACCTTTTCGATCTTTAGCCCCGTGCTTGTGCTGTTCTCTTTCAGGCCCCAGTATTTCATTAACACCGTTTTCCCCTCTGGTTCTTCTTTAACACCTCTTTGGAAAATTTCTCAAGCTGTAATGAATATTCAGACCCATATAGTGAAGATGATTCTTTTCACATTGAAGATCTTTTTTTTTTATAGTCGAACACAGAGAGTAATTAATTTGCGGAGCAGGTATATATGAAATGGAAATTCATTCTTTTGCTTAGGTCGCTTTCCAGTTGAGGTGCAAAATTACGATGTTCAAATTAATAGACGCGTCTACAGGTGTTTTATCGGACTATTTATACGTTAAGAATATTCACCACTGTTTTTATTTCCTTCGACTTGGCTTTTAACCCGTTTCTCGCCTCGGCAATTACCGTCGCAATTTGTTCATTCGTGTTTCAAGTGTTACAAAGTGCGGCTCATTTACCATGCAAATCGAAAGAAACGTTCGCGCCCGTATATCTCGCGTGGCCCGCCGTTAATCTGCAATTAAACGGGGCCCCGTTTTAAATTTACGATCGGATATATCTTCGCGCGAATCGAAGCACGACCCGGCCGATTATAATATTTGCGATGAACGGCAAACTAGCCCGGTTCGATGTCGATTAGCAGCGGGGAACTCTTGACGCGCCATGAGCATTATTGCTATCGAATTACTGGCCCAGCCCGGGCCAAAATTGAACGCGGAACTCGATAATTTTCGAGCGCCATACTTTAATGAGCGCATTATGAACCGCCGCCAAAACGGGAACACGCCGACACACGAGCAGGCACTTTTCACGTCGAAGATACGCTTGTCGCTCCGAACGACACCCCTCTCGATCTTATTTCACAACTCGACAGACTTGAAAGGATTCCCAACAGGCACTTGCACCGTACTCTTCCAAAAAAAAATATATTAGACATTTATAAAACCGAGTTCAGTCCCCGAGATCTTATAGAATTACCGATGAGGTACTTTTTCTCCTTTTTAAATAAATAAATAAAATTTTCTACAATTTTAGATAGTTTCACCCTCAGGAACCGTCTATCAGGAAGATTATCATAAGACTATTGAGATCCTCTACAAACCCCTCGAGTTGAAAAAAGATCGGAATGTTCGTGGTTCTTTCGATAACAATTTCACGACCCAATCCTACGCTTTCAATTTAAGTTTACAAAAGAAATTACTTCTACATGTACGCATGCATAGCTTCATCGAGCGAAATTGAGGTGTGCAACGCGGCATGTGACCGCGAAAAAGGGTGGGAATACCAAAAGCAATTTCTTTTAGTTTCTGAAAACGTCAAATTCCCTTGGGTAAACCGATAGCATTCCCTCGAATAAATAATATACGATTTTGATTATTATTACCATCAGTATTTTTATTACCTACACGCCACTTGTTGCAAGATCCATAGATCGTTTCAAATTTGTCGAAGCACGCGCTCGATCATGATCTCCCTTTTATTCTCGAACCAGTAATACTGGTAACGGGACCAGGGGGGCTCTTTGCAATGCAAACGAAACGAAGTGACGGGAGCGTGTAAATAAAATGTCTGCGTGTGCATGCGCATAAATCATGTTTGCAGTTTAATGGACGGTCCGATGCGTTCTCGCGTGGTTGAGTGGCGGGGGGTTAAATATTTCGAGCAGTAGATTCCGTGTGTCCATGGACACTCACCGTAACAAACTATGCCGTATGAGTACAATATAACATTTAAGCGTGGTAATAAAGCACGACCAGGGGTTCGTGCTTCAGCTACACCATGAAATCTCGTTGCACATAACTTTCGTGCTTCGTGCCCCCACCAAGCCAGGTGTTACTTCCGCTTATCTTATACATTGATTTGTTTCCTAGACAGGCTTAACGGGGTGCCTGCTAGATGCGCGCCACCGTTCCAACGTTAATTTTCTGGATCTATTCTTACACAACAGATGCGAGACAACGATGTGTAGGAATGTAGAGACGGTGAGATATAGAATGAAAATGTATACGGAGCGCGCACCGGATGTTCGTTGCAACGAGCGGGAGGATAAAACGGTAGCAATGATTCTCGGTGCAACAAGGAATTGTAAATGTGAGATGAAATTCTTTCGGGATTAGGTTCAACTTTATCTTGAAACGATATGGTGCTGGGGTACGATGGCGATACTAAACGAAAATAAGTGTAAATTTGTTATTTTTTGTACGAAAGAAAAATAACATTTTACGAGAATAATCATACATTTTAGTATCGATCGATAAATATGGCAAACTTTTGAAAATTTACTAATTTATAAATTAACTAATTTCTTTAATGTCGTATCGTAATAAAAGTTACAAAAGATCAGAGAAAATGTATAGTTACAACATTTTAATTATAAGTATTGGCAAGTCATTTTGACTTGCTTAGTAGTTCTAGTGTGAAGTATCGTATTTATTTTAAAATCTTTTAACTTATAAAAGATATTACAATGATGCGTATAGAGAATTGTTGACCGCAAAAATTCAGACGTTCAATCATCCACTGTTCTGTAGTTGTGCTATCCATCAACGGAACAGCCAGTAGAGTCGTCCACGAAAGTGTCGTAAATTCGGGACTTAATTAAGTAACTTTGTGGAAATGGACAACTAGAGGGAAGTCAAGTTTGCGTTCCGGATTATTTCTTTCGGTATATGGGTCATCCAGTCAAAATTCTGTTTTTGGTAGGGAGAGGTGAAGAGCAGGGCACTGGGGCTCGAAGCCAAAGCCCGGATTTTATTGGATGTCGATGCGATAGGTCCCGTGGTACGTGTGAATGAAATCCCTTTTAGATTATGCGCTCTCGAGGACCGCGTGGATTTAAGCACTATTTTATAGGCGGCAGCCATTTCGAAAATCAGGCTCACCGATAGGAAAGAAACCATCGGGCGACCTGAATAGCTCAATTCGTTAGAGTAGTCCGTTCGGCAAACAAAAGATCCGGACCAGCAATCGGATCGAGGCGAATCTCTTCCTCCGTATAGATTTGTAAGAATTTATTGAGGCACGTCTGTGGTCGTTGTTGCGAATCCTTCGAAGACAACCGGAATCGAATTCGGGGAATTTCTTCGTCTGCTTCCAATATCTTGCAATCAGTTCTATATTAGTATTTCCGGTACCCCGTACCTGGTCGGGCAATTTCGAGGAACTTACCTCGAAATCATGCAAATCGATCGCGTCAACTCCAGCATTTCCCCGAATTTTCAACAGTTATTCGTTAAAAAAATGTTCCAACTCACCCCTAGTCGATGCACTAACACACTATAATTGCAATAATTTACACTTTTTTCACGTTTCCATAAGATCATTCAAACGACTACGTTCTAAAGGATCTGCGCGCGTGCGTGCTTGTCAGTAAGCTGTTAACCGGTTAAACGGTTCGGAAACGAAGTTCATTTTCGGATCGTCAAGTTATTCCGTGTTACCGAGGGCGATGTCACTGACTAGTTAACCTCGGCCGCGATTTACCGGACACCCACTCCCTCTCGACATCGATGTTGTAACTCGATTTAATCTATCCAGCGCTAGGCGATGCCGGCGGAGGAGTTACTTGTTCAATTTCGTCGGCATACGGAGACCTGTGTGTATCACTCATGCAAATTACCAGACGCATGCTTGAACCACGGGGGAACCCTGTGGGTATATACTTCTGTGGGACCAGGATGATTTACATAGAAAACAGGGGTAACGAAAACACACACGCACACACATACACACCTGGGTAGGAATTCAATAAACGACAAAATACGTTTATAATTTATCCCCCTGGCTTCTTCCCCTCGTTTACTTTCGGTGCCCCGAGGGTGTTATGCAATTTATCGGGCACTGGTAAAAAGCGTGTGACAGGCTTGCTAAGAAAAAGAGGAAAATAAGTAAAGTAAACTAGATGGGAACACGGTTGAATACTGCTTTTAGCGTTTACGCGAGTACCAAGGGGGACATGAAAAAGAGACGAGCACGAGAGACGACGACGATGTGACGGGTGGAGAGGCGGGCGCAACGCTTCGTGTCCCAGGAGTTCATCAGTCCGTTCGCTAAATATACTTAGCCGATGGTGAGAGAGGCCGGGGATAGAGGGAGGGACTCTGATCTCTGTGTGTACAGGTTCATAAACCGTATCTATGAGCATTCGCGAGGCTGCTTGGCGCGGCCACCATCGTCGCGACTTGTTCTATTTGTCTCGGTGCGGTGGAATTTTCTGACTGAAAAATCGTTGGCACAGCGTGCGCCAGGTGGACGCGTTCGGAGACTCTATGGGTATATGGGCACGTTCGGTAAATTTTCGTGACCAGCGGAACGATAGAGGCTAGCTTTCTGTCTTGGAGGCGAGAATACGTGTACGTGTCCCGTAGGGGGAGGACCAGGTGTCCCGTAACTCACATGAGACTTATTAAACCGGGAGGAAACAAGCTGCATCAAAGAGCACAACTTATATTTACTCGTGATTCATATGTTCATTCAGTTACTGGGTTGCGAATTTTCGGGACAGTGGGAAAGTTTTGCAAGAGTAGGGAATTATTGGTGGATAGCTTGTTTCCTTTTTCAGTGTTGTGACGTGAATTTTAAAATGAATTGGAAGCAAGTATGGAGGAGCGAAACGATTCCATAACTTCTGGACACTGGCCTGACACATCCAGATCGGAGAATATTTTCCTTGTACGTTAGCGTTTTGACACCGCCTAATATAAAGCATGACGAGTTTATCGCGACGCGGGTTTCACTGGAACGTCTCCGCGGGACGCTTTCCCAGAGCGATTCTCTCTTACATCACGAAGTCGTGTCCCTCGGCATAGTGAAATAAATTCACCCCCTTCCATCTTGGCCCCTGATGAAGTTGCGGGAGCTGCGGGGGCGAAGTTATGGCGAAACAAACGGGCTCGACCTCTCGGTGTTTTATTTCCACTTTGCCGAGCATTGAGGTAAAGTTCGTAGTTAAATTGCACCGAAAGACGCTTAGCGCATGGGAGTTTAGGAATATTGCAGTTCCTTAAGCTCGGGAGTATCTCATTTTCCAAGTTTTCAGTAATAACGACACCTCGCCGCTCGTTATTTTTCGAGACACCGGCACGACTATTCCTCGTACTCTGCTAACTCCTCCTATCGTCTCAGGTGAAACGGGGATCGATTTCCTTTCCGATTTGCAGTCGATCTTAATAAAAGATTGGAGGCTCTCAAAATCTCAGCGGGAACGGACATCGATTATTCGAACAGTTTATCGTCGGAATGTTTCCCTTTCGAAAACGTAGACTATTCGAAGACGTAAAATATTGTTAGGTACAATCGGTAGGAAAAGTGTTCGTGCACATCCTGTTCGTAGAAATAATTTTCTAAGTTATCTTAACTATAGTTCGATTTTTACAGTTAATTTTATTCATTCTGTTTAATATATTTATGATAATATACCCGAGTGTATAAATCCTTTAGGAAAAGATGAAAGAAGTCTTTCTGGGATCAGGTGTAATAAGGGATTTTCTTGTTTTCCCGCCTTCGTCGGATAAAGAAACAAACGTACGAGTGCAATTTGAATTTGAAGCACATATTTAACTCAGCAACGAGACTGCAGGGACTAATGCTTTGTCTCTGAGCGTTACAACGTTCCACTTTAATTTATATAATAGTTCGCAGAAAGAGGATAGAAAAGAAGTCGTCTAGAAGAGCGATTCAGAGACAGTCGAACGTTTGCCGAGCGTAGATCGCGCCGGATCGATTTCTACGTAGAAGCAAAAGTTCGCTTTGTTTGCGTCGAATAGGAAGCCCCCAGAGCGAGGTTCCGCGTTCTGTTTAAAACTGAGAGGAGAGAGGGGTCCGCGGAAGAGGAAGGAAGGAAAAAAAAATTGGCGGAAGAAACGAAATTTCTCCGCGAGCGCCCAGGGATTCTTTGCACAGCTACGAATTACTCCGATAGCGGTTCCGGTTTACGTTTCATAACAACTCGTTTAAGTTCTTATTATTTTAATAGAAATTCTTGGCACGGGTAAGTCGCTCGAAGATAATGAAACTTCCACGGGGACAGCTCTTTAGAAGTTTCATCTATTTGTTTTTACCGATTGGCCGTTTTCATATGTAAAACATACATACCTTGAATATCTCACTTATTTTTGAAGATGTAAAAAAAAAATGTGAGGGGACAGTGTTATTTGATTGCAAGGGGCAAATACTGTGATAAAGACAAAATCATTCTCAAGGTTATATTTTTCGAATTTTCGATCTAACAAGGAAAGGCATGGAAGTGTCCCCCTCCGATTTTCCGAAGTTCATGGAATAATTCCGTGGATTCGACGCTTTTCCCATCGAATATAATCGTCTACCTTTCTCTCCGACTCCCGAACACAAAATAATAGCCGGTCGCTGTATTTCGTTAAGCGTTTTATCGTGAGTTCTTTTTTCCACGCTTGTGGTGTCGCGGTAACTTCTGCCACGGGGGGCGAACTTTCATGGAAATCCGGGACTTCTCTCGCGGGAGGACACTTTTTAACGCTGACCTGACAGCCAAGATCGGGTAAAACTTTTTCAACGTTTAGCCCCAAAGATTTTATGCGCATATCAGTCGGCGATTCTCTACGCCACCTGGACGAGGACATGGGATCCTCGAGGCTGGACAGGAATTTAATTCTTCACCGGTAAGGTGGGGTTTGAGGAACTATGTGAATATTTTTAGAACATTTTATTATTTTCCATAGTTACTTGAAGAGATTTTAACGGCATGAAACAGGCCATTGCGGTTCCTAAGCTGCCCTTTTTACCACCGCAATAGAAATAGAACCATTCTTCCCCTGTTAGATCTGACGTTAAAGTTGCACTTCTTAAGTAGCTCGCTATGCCTGTTTCCATTCGCAAAAATGTGCCTGTCGTTGATTTACGAGCATGTAACACGGATGTGCAAGCACGGTAGAGGGGGGCTTGAAGCTAGTTTGCACAGGGACGAGCAACGGGAGAAGTAATCTAATTAATATACACGGGAAAGTTTCTGTAATCTCTTGTTCCCATCTTTTCGGTTAATATACTCGTCGCCCCGGCGTGGGAACCGTGAACGACCTACTGGCATAAGCGGCGAAGATCGGAGAGTTTTTCGGGGATGATGAAGTTCCTCCGGAACTTGGGGCGAAGCAATACAGTTCCCCTTCGAGAATAGACACTTGAAATTATCATTAAAATGATTCGACAATCATATTTCTTGGTGGGAAACAAGCCTTATTATACGGCTTCTTCCCTTCGAGCGCTTCGGGAACAGGACGTTTCCCGTAGAAGAATTATTCCGCGACGAAACACGAGCATCTCAAGTGCTCTTGAACAGACTAAATTAAATTACTCTTACCCGACTGGGGAAACTTTGACAACTGTGGATTACGCGAACCTCGGCTCCATTGGGTAATATCTTGACAATGGAATCGCAAGAACCACAAACTTCGCTTTACGTCTGTTTACTAATACCTGTAGGCACGAGTATTCTCGATTGCGTAGTCACAAGGAATCATGATGCATAATACATTCACTTGTCTCTGAAATCAATTAGCGTAAAATGTTGCACTGGAAAGACGCGTATCCATTTCCCAACCATTCCGTGATACGATACAAGGATACGCACATTAACCCCTTGCCCCATGATTTTCCTGACGTCTGCAGTCTCAGAACTCATTTTTCTTTGTTTAATCGATTTTCAAATCGTCAACACGAGCCTGACTGGTTGTTATAGGGCAAGGGGTTAACAGTACGTGTTCCCCCTCCATTTCCCATTCTGAAATTCCCTGAACATGAAATCGTATCGTTCATTTGAATACAGAAGATCTGATTGATATAGACAAGCTATTCAACAAACATTCGAAACTCTTCGCGACAGCGATAAGGCGGACGAGAACATAGAGAACGATCAACGAGCATCCATCTTGTCCGACGCGGAAAATTACCGTAGCATCGAAGTCCCGTTCCGAGATTTTCCTCTTCGCGCGTGTTCACGTCATCGTTCATCAACGTTTGTTTTGATTCATGCTTCTGATCGTCGAGTCTCGAGCTCGCTGTATAATAGGTAGTCCAGCATTAAAACTGCACATTGTTCCGTGGCGAAAGATTGATGGCGGGACCCGTTCGATATTTCCCTGGACAGATTGTTCCGTTGTGTGGCTCGGACACTAATCAGGATTAAACAAGAAAATTAACAGCTTGTCTCACGTTCAAGGCCGGTTCTTGTCTCTGGCGAACTCGAGGGATGTGTTCACGCTGTGCAGCGAATAAGCAGACGAGGATCGAAACGGAACAACTCGGGGCAATCTACCGGGGCTATTTGGGAACCTACGAGGCGTGCATAAATATTTGAGGGGGGTGCGATAGCGGGTTGCGGGGTTTGGAAAGGGGTTAAGTAAAGTCCAGGGAGGAAAGCCTCTTAACGAGGATTCCCTGGTGGGTACGAAGCTCTCGCGTATACCCTAGCTCCAAACCTTGTTCGATCCCCCTATAACCGATTGCCTTTTATTTAATTCATATTTTTTTCCAGAGTATCCGACGGCGGTCAACGCCGAGATAGTGGAGGCGAACGGGAACTCTTTGGAAGTTAGCGTTACTGGGATGCCGTTGGACGTCGATCTACCCCCTACCATGCCGATGACATTCGGCACGGATAATTCGACGGTGATCTCCGCGCAATCTGGATCCACCGCGTTGCTGCCATGCGTCGTTCGTAATCTCGGGGATGGAATGGTGAGATTTGTCAGGGAAGCAGCTTCTTCTTTACAGGAAAAGTCTTTGAAAAAGCATCACCTGGATGATCTGGTCTCTGGGCGATTTCTGGTCCCTGGAGCACACAACGCGCGCGGAAAGTTATTATCATATCAACGTGATACCTGAAGGGGCTAAGGTCTTTGGGGGATGCTCTACGGCAGGGATGCGTTTACTTCTTTTCTGGGAAAGGATCGATCCCCTCTGACGTATCGGGATACTTTGCACGAATTAGACGTTTTTACATGCTCGTTTGGAAACGTTTCATAGTCTGGCGCGATTTTATTCGGATAATGCATAATTAAAAGCAGAAGTTAATGGGGTTAAATAATTGTTCGGAAAGTGTCTGCTCAGGCAAGAGGAATTATTATTTTATTAGAATAATTAGAATTTCCATGTTTAATCAAGGCGAAATGGAGAAGTGCTTTTTCTATCTTTTATTCGTTATTTGAAACTTTCTGTATAGATAATGAATTTACCCATCTCTGTTTCACAGTGGATTGGTTATTATATGTAATAATTGATGTGATAAAGGTTTCCAAGTGGAAGTAGCGAATATTAGTCAGACATTGAGTTTTTTGATAGGAATTCTATGGAAACTTCTTTCAACGATTTAAAAGGTCTTTCCACTTTAAAAGGTCTTTCCACTTTAAAAGGTCGAAAATATTGAAATTGTTTTGCATACATCGAAAGTATAGACTGGCAATATACACAAAAGACCACTCGACTTATTCTGTTAGCAATATAAAAGAAGGTACATTCATTCCGTGGTTTCTTTATAGATAACTTCTGTGGCCTCTATAATAACCACCTATATCGATACATCGTCTGTAAGTTCGGTTTCAAAAGTAGCCCCGTGAATTCGAAATTATCTATTCAAGTACGGATTAATATAATATTCGTTCGTTGTACGGATCCTTTTAATTTTCATCCGAGGGTTACAAGTACGGCCGATGACGGTAGAAAAAGACACGTACTAGAGGAAGAAAGATTTAATTGAAGTAAGAAAAACTGAGTGGGGTTCCCGGGTTTTTTTGCCCCCTTAGTGTCTAACAGAAGGCTTATTCGCGAACCGCGGATCAAATGGAATTAAAAGCTGAAGAGCCGCCCGCGACACAGGATTACCACTCGGCTGTTTCCTTCGACGCCATTGTTCCTGATGGAGGCTTTCATGGGCTACGATACACTGTTAATAATTCGCGCTATACACTGCTCTTGAATATTTTACTTCGCCTCGAAAACGGGTCCAGGAACCGGGCACCAGACGGAGAAAGGGCGTGCAGAAAATAAGGAAAAGTGGCCGGTGCATTATGTGATTGCGTCAATGAAATTCGCGATGCAAGGAGCGAGAGACGAGGTAACAGTCGAAGAAAAATTGTGTGCTGTCGTTTCCGTTTCCGGTCAGACCGAATTCCGAAGTTGTAGAATAAAATACAACTACAATATTCCCCTCGTTTTCCGACTTCGTTAAACGAAACAGCTTTTCTTTCGGGTCGCGCTTTTGTTCGTTCGACCGTGGAAATTAACCACGCAACGCGGAACTTCGCAAGCGATACTTTTACCGTGCGCGGAATTCCCACGCAGAAATGGCCCCGGGAGTTCTTCCACTTTGGCAATTGGGGGGAAAAAACGGGTCACGTGTCGTGTGCGGTGTTCAAAGTGAAACTCTGGGCTGGAACTTTTTTAAATTTTTCTGACGTACGGCTCTGTAAGTTTTATAATTACGGAATTGTTTATTCTAGCCTCGACAACAATTTCTGGGGTGTAGAAATATTACCTTCGGAAAGAGAACGAACAAAAAAGTGATTTTTTTAAGTTAATCTTTTCAGGGATAAATTTATTAAAACCAGAAAGAAATAATTGTTTTATTTTTCAATTACATACAGGCTGCTCCAAATCCAATGATCTAAATAGTGTGACCTTCATGTGACTTTGAGTACAGAAATCCGCAAATGTATGAGAGTAGTTAAAATTATTTGTCTGTAAATAAAAAACAAGTGAGATACTAAAGGTGGGCACGTTAGGTAGGGCACCTGTATATCTATTTAAATGTAAATGTTAACGAGAATCAATTGGTAGAATATCCTTTTTCGTTGGGGAATTTTCTAATGAATATTTATTTACAATAATGTTCATTTTTTAGAACCATGCTTGAATGAAAAGAAATTAAACCTACACATATGTGCCAGTATCCCCCAAGAGGTTGAGCGGAATATTTTGGTCAAAGCATCGAGAGAATTAATTTACTCAAATTAATCGACCATTATTTATTTGACACATTTAATATTGAACTCATCGGATCTGCCTTCGCAGTTTCGCGAATGTATTCTCTCCCTCTGAATTTAAAACAAAAAATCCTTGGAAAAAATGCAATTTTCCAATCTTGCGGAAAGAAGACCGCTTAAAAAGAATTCGATGAAACTCGAGGGGAGGGGGTCGAGAACGACGGCGTCCGCCGACGTGGTCGTGGCAGGGGCGGAATACTAAATTAAAAAGAGAAGGTTGGGGAGCGACGAGAACACTTAGTCATAAATTAATGCTTCGTAACGAAATTCCATAATGCATACGCGTCCTCGGGCGGCGGGGCGTTTCATAAATACAAAAACACCGACGCAAAAGTTTATTCGTCGAGCTGGAGCGGAGGGAGAGTGTATATATGTGTTGCTTACTGTTTCATTAAGCCGCGTTTCCACAGTTCGCTCTCGGACGGTTATCTGTTTTGTCGGTAAACATTTCGCGTTACGCGCAATTAGCTCGACGAGTACACACACACAGAGAGGCGATAGAAGAGAGCGCGGTTGGGGGTCACGCATTGGTATTAATAATATTATCAAGATACATTACACGGCGGTTGGAACGACAACTACACGTAATCACGATTTAAAGCCTCTGGATAAGGGTGTGGGGGTGGTACAATGGACGCCATTAACACTAGAACTACCAGAGCAATCAAAATGACTGGTTGTCACATTCTTATAACGATGGTTAAAATATTATAACAATACAATAGTTTGCATTGGCTACGCGCTGCGATTGGTAGCCAACGCTATCACAGGACCTCGGCCAGTAGACTCGTGCTCTGATTGGTCTGGATTTTTTTTTGTTAATATCACGTTAACAAAGCCTCGGATAATATTTTTGCTAAGGAAAAAGTTGTTTCAAATCTTCCCAGGAACCCCTCATTTCTCATTATTTTGGGACACCTTTTATATGCATTTGTTACTCGCCAGGCACGCGTGTAGAAAAAAAGGAAATATCACTGTGTAGGGAGCACGGGTCATTGAAAACCCTTTGCTTGACGCTTGGATTCACGGTCGGTCTGTCATTTCTTCCGTTTACTTTTTGCAGCACTGTTTTTTTTTTCTCTCTCCGGTGATATTCTCGGAATTATTATCGCGTTATTTGACTTTCCCGACGGGATACGGCCACGTTACGCAATAATTATGCGGTCACAGCCCTGTTGATAGAGGTAGAACAGGAGAAATGGGAGTGTGGAAACGGGTACGGAGGGAGGGAGAGGTAGAGTTAAACCGACGCAGGTGGAAATCAATAGGAAGGTCGCCGTCGAACAATTCGCACGCTACTTCTATTGCCGCTACGTGCTCGCTGGACCGCTCGTATAAAATTTCATTGCGTGCTCCGTAGGAGAGAACGAGATAATGAAAACCGGGGCCGGGCCCTCTCTCGCCCCCAACCCGCTTGCAAACCGAGGAGGACTCCTCTGCAATCTTCCCGAGAAGCCTTTGACTTCTAATTGAATGCGACGGTTTCGGGCTGATAGAAGTCCATGTTTGGGCGGTTTCGCGGAAACGACTAGATTTCGTAGATTAGAACGTTGTATGCCGTCTGTGTTTACTCAACGCTTATTTTTCATGCAATTTGTTTTGAGTAAAACTACGTTTACAGAGGAATTACAAGAAAATTAAACGGGAATGATTACGGTTACGGTGAAAGACTTCTCTGAAGAATTTACGTCAAGACGTATCGGTTCGAAATATTCCTCGGACATATACTACTATTTATTTGATTGATCTGACGTATTCGTCAGACCATCGGGTCGTCTGTAAATCTGTTCTTCCGAAAATTTGATCGTCTGAAAATTTAGTTATTAGAACATTGGGTCATCGGAAAACGCTCCAATGTAACGGTAGCCTAACGCAAAAATGCAACAAAACTGAATTTAACATGACGATAACATATATACGTGGAAATGTGCGTTCACGGAAAGAGAAATTTCAAGAGTAGTTGGTCCTCTAATTGAATGTGATCTGAAAGAAGTCTGTGTACGTATGGACCTAATCCCTGCGAGATTGCTGTCCTTTATGCAAGATCTCTTTTATGTCGGGCGGAAGACGAATAGAAAAGGCTGTACGCGTATAGGTCGTATCGATGCTCCGAACGCGCAGCCACCAACGGTATTACACACTAGAATTACCAGCCTAAAAGCCATTTACGATGATCTGTGGAATTCCACGATACCCCGGGAAATAGGAAAGCAGTGGCGAAATGTGTCCGTCGCGGTAACAAACTTCGAAATGGGACTTGCTTCCTGAACTGGAAATATTAGCCGTAAGCGTGTTACGATGTCGTCGTTTTTGGGGCTGGTTGGGCTTGCAACGTGACAACGTGGCTTTCCCAATATTTACACAAGTGTAAAGGGAGAACGTGTTTTAGCAAACACCGGTAGGTGTTCTACGGTTAGAGGATCAACTGTTGCAAGTATGTACTTTACAGCCAGAACGGTTAAGAATAATGTTAATTACACAAAGATCCATAGTTACAGGTTATTAAACATTATCTCAGGAAAATGTTAATTAAATGAAGTTCCGTTATTACTGGTTACTAAATATTATCATACATTTCTTATTTCTGTACATAAAATTAATTAGCAAAATAGAAATCTCTCTGCACCGTGATGATGGAAAGTTTGCCACGTAAAAAGAAGAATACGCGGCATGATGCGCTTACGTCAGAAGGGGGGG